TTAGGAGGCCTCTTGCTAGTCTAATTCTGGTGAGGAGGCTCTTGAGTTTTGTAGGTCTGAGCAGAGCCTGCCTGAATCTCGGTGCCAAGATGGCACATCTGGCACCTGCCTTACATTGGCTCATAACAGCTCGACTCCGAACTTCCAGAGAACAGTGTCTGTCCTTGGGATAGATGAGACACTCTGGAGTGTGAGGAGAGTGCGAGGAGCAAGAAGGAATTGTATCTTTTCCTTTGCTGATACGAATCTGCACTGTCCTCTCCAAAGCTGCTTGTGAACGTTCAAGATGACATGCTGGTCTGGCCAGCGGTTCACTGCCCCTACTCAGCTTCTCCTCTCAGTAGCTATTCAACACCCTATTCTAACCTTCCTCTGAAGCTCAGGGTTCTAGGATTGTCCTCTGTGACTGTTTCAGTTGATCTCCCTTATTTTTGTTGTGGCGTCCTGGTGTAGTGCTGTAGGGTAACGACTCAACTGCTGACCACATCAAACCCATCATCTACTCTTTGGAAACCCTATACAGTGTCGCTATGAGTCAGAACCGATTCAGTGGCACTTGATAACAATATCTTTGTAGTAGAGAATCTGTGAAGCGTGTCTACCGACCCTGCCATCTTGCTGAAGTGTCATTTTTTGATTCCTTGACTATTGCTTTCATGAGTGTTGATTGTAGATCCCAACAAAATGAAGTCTTTGAACACCTTCAATCTTTTCTCCATTTATTTTGGTATTTATTATTTTATATGGTCCAGTTGTTAGATTTTTGTTTTCTTTACACCGAGGCGCAATCTATACTGAAGGTTGTAGTCTTTAGATCTTCATCAGTTTTTTTTTGTTTTTTTTTAGTGTGAACTGAGCGATAGTTCATATGGGAGAACATCAACTTTATACCATCGTTTAATTGCAATGATTACAATCTCCTCCATGCATCATTATTCAACAGTATTTGCTTCAGTTCCCTTTCTTTTTTTTTTTTGGTATGGGGTGGGGTGGGGTTATGTACACAGAAACACTCAGGAATATATAATAATTTAAGCAACCAAAGGGCATATTCTGTAAGCTTGCTTCTTGGCTGCCAGCACTCAGTTCCTCTCTTTCCATTAGTCTAGAGTCCTCAGCTGCTCCCTTTCCATGCCCTCATCTCTGTCTCCATTTCTGATGTTGCAGTTTCTCTGGATAGAGTCCCGCATTCCACTTGTGCTCTTCTTCCATGAGAACAGAGTGGTCTCTGTTTCTGGACTGTAAGATTAACTTCTCCCCTGTTTTTGTTACAAAACTTCTACCTTTACAGTTGTAACAATTGCAATTTAATCATGATAGCTATTATTATTGAATCATCAGAATCTTATCCCCATCTCTTTTCACCAGATCCATCCAGACAAGATGAAACGTATTCAGTGGGGACTCTATCTTGCCCTGCACACTCTTAAACTAAACTCACTCTTGAAAACTTGTAAGACAGTCACTTGATGCCTTTATCACCCCCTCATTTTAGATAGCCAATGTCAGGGTTGCCCATCCCTATCTACCCTGTATACAGAGGGGATAGGATTGGTACTTGATGTGATGACTCCTTCCCTCTCAGTTGGTATTTTGAGCTACTACATCCATAAGTATAGGTCAAGTTCATCAAATTGTAGCAATTTATACTTGTTTTCATTTATCAAAACTTTTTTCTCTTTCTTTAGTCAAGTTCTGATTATCAAGCCATTGAGGCTAGGTTAAATGGGTACTATCTGCAAGTTTGGGTGTTCTTGTGCATCTCTTCTCACTTCATGTCAGTTGGATGCTTCACTCTCAACTCTAGCCCTCTGTGGCTATGTCCTTGTCCGTGGGCTCAGGAATCCCCAGAATCTCACCACACTTTGGACCAACCAACCCTTCCTCTTCTCTCGGTCATCTCCAGGTCAGTGGGAGTCTATGGAATGTGGTTGAACTCATCCCATTTCTTCATTGCTGCCTTTCCACCTCTTCAACTCACCAGCAGATCAGCGTGGTCGCCAGCAAGCTTATGTGTCTGCTCATGTGTTCCTTTTGAGTTTCAGTCGTGGAGGGGGGTTTGTCCTGAAGGGACTTGATTACTTGCCTTGATCTTCATCAGTTTTTAAGTCCTTTTGGATTTCAGCAAGCAAGGTTGTGTATCAATATATCTCAGATTGTTAATGAGTCTTCCTCTAATTGTGATGCCGTGTTTTTCAGATATTCCAACTTCTTGAGTTATTTGCTCAGCATACAGATTGAATAAATATGATGAAAGAATACAATTCTGATTAGCACTTTTCCTGACTTAAAACCATATCGTATTCCCTGTTCTGTTTTAACAACTGCCTCTTGGTCTTTGTACAGATTCCACATGAGCACAATTAAGTATTCTGTAATTCCTGTTCTTTGTAATGTTATTCAAAATTGATATAGTCCACATAGCGGGATGCCTTTGCATAGTCAGTATTCTTTGCTTTCAGCCAAGATCCATCTGACAGCAGCAATGATATTCCTCGTTCCACATCCTTTTGTGAATCTGCCTTGACCTTCTACAGCTCCCTGTTGATGTACTGTTACAACCATTTTTGAATTATTTTTAGTAACATTTTACTTGTATGACGCACATTCTGCTGGGTCACCTTTCTTTGAAATGGGCATAAACATGGATGTTTTACAATTGGTTAGCCAGTTAGTTGTCTTCCAAATTTCTTGCCAGATGAGTGAGTGTCTCAAGCACTGCATCAGTTTATTGAAACATTTCAGTTTATATTCTTGTTTTTTGCCAATGTGTTCAGTGTAGCTTAGACTTCTTCCTTCAGTACTATCGGTTCTTGGTCATATTGTACCTTTTGAAATGGTTGAACATCGACCAGTTCTTTTTGTTACAGTGACTCTGTATTCTTTCCATCTTTTGTCATCCCTTTTGGTCTTTTCTTTCTTTCTTGTCTTTTAAATTACCTTTTGCTTTCTTCATGTATTATGTTCTTGATGTCATCCCACAGCTCTTCTGATCCTTGATCATTAGTGTATTATGCTTTAAATCTGTTATGGATATGGTCTCTAAATTCAGGTAGTGTATACTGCAAGGTCATATTGTGGCTTTTGTGAACTTGTTTTAATTTCCTTCAGCTACAGCTGGAATGGGCATATGAGCAATTGGCTGATGATATTAAGCTTCTCCATGGTCTCTTCCCACAGATGCAGTCAGTTTGATTCCTGACAATATGTCCGAAATATGAGAGACGAAGTTTGGCCATCCTGGCCTCCAAGGAGCATTCTGGCTGCACTTCTTCCAATACAGATCTGTTTGTTGTTTTGGAAGTCCATGGCACTTTCAATATTCTCTTCCAACACCATAACTCAAAGGCATCAATTTTTCTATGATCTTCCTTATTCACTGTCTAGCTTTTGCATGCATAGGAGGTTATTTGAAAAGACCAGGGCTTGGGTCAAGCAAACCTTAGTCCTCAAGCTGACATCTGTGCTCTTCAACACTTTAAAAAGGTCTTAGGTACAAGATAGATATTATCCTATCACAGACAGTATTGCACTTCAAGGTAGATCTTTATGTGTTCTTTTTGACAATGAATATGATGCTGTTCTTCAGTTTTTTTGTTCTGGCATAGTAGACCAGTACTTGTCCATTTCGATTTACTGATGCCTAGGATATTGCTCTTTAAACATTCCATTTCATTTTTGATGATTTCAATTTTCTTGGATTCATACTTCATACATTCCATGTTCTGATTATTAATGAATGTTTGCAGCTAGTTCTTCTCATTTTGAATTATGCCCTATCAGCAGATGAAGGTCATGAAAGCTTAACTTCCATTTTCACCATTAAGGTTAACTCTACTTTGAGGAAGCAGCTCTTCTCTAGTAATAATTTGAGTGCCTCCAACCTGAGGGGCTCATCTTCTGGCACTGTATTAGACAAATGTTCTGCTGCTATTTGTAAGGTTTTCAGGGGCTAACCATTCACAATTGGTACACCTTTCCTCATTCTTAGTTTTTCTTATTCTGGAAGCTCTGGTGAAAACTGTCTATCATGGGTGATCATCCTGTTATTTAAATTACTAGTGACATAACTTCCAGCACATCACAGTGACACACAAGCCACCACAGTGTGACAAACTGACAGATGAATGGTGCTTGATTGGAGTTGTTGTTGTGTACCATGGAGTCAGTTCCGACTCATAGCGACCCTCTACAGGGTTTCTGAGGCTGGAAATCTTAATGGGAGCAGCAAGCCTCATCTTTCTTCTGCAGTACAGCAGGTAGTTTCAAACTGCTAACCATGAGATTAGCAGCCCGATTCGTAACCACTACGCTACCAGTGCTCCCTCCATTAAAAATTTTCTAATAGTCAGTAGAGAAAAGTTCTTAAGAAAAAAATAAAAGTAAAAAATAAATGGTTTACTTGCTTGAGAACCACTGCTCATTGTTTTGTTGTATAAATGAAACGAGCTGAGGGAAGCTAATTTAAGACTGCCCTGAAGGAATAGATATTCTTGTTGTGTGTAACCTGTGGTGTATGTATGTTCTGTGATGACTTGGGTCAGGAGTGTAATCTGGGTATGGAAGGTAATAATGTGCATTGTGGTCGTCTGTGCCATTCTTCAAATGAGACACCTTTCTGAAAGGTGGGGGAGATTACCTTGGGGCCCAGTCTGCCATCTTGTGGTTTTGTACAAAGGCTACCAGATGGTTTCCTTTATATGTGAAAATTCTTAACTCGGAGCCATTTTAATGACGTCTAGGAATTTGTTTGTAGAGGGCATGTACTTTTTTTTTAGCATAGAGGTTTTGAAAATTGCTGCAGGTTTTTTCATACATGTTTGCAAGGGAAGAATAATAATACTTCAGGGGAGTTTGCAATTTTGAACATCTTTGTCTTGGTCTTTGACTAGGATGAGGTAGAGGCAGGTGTAGCACATTGCTGATGTTTTGTTTTGACAGTGCAATTTTAACAATTGGCTCACATTTGTTGGCGGGACTTTCTGTGTCTTGGCCTCTAGGGATGTGAATACCACCATCATGGAGCTCCTGATCATGGTGTATGCCTGTAAGACCTCTTGTGCGAAAAGCATCATCGGTGTGATTCCCTACTTCCCTTACAGCAAGCAATGCAAGATGAGAAAAAGAGGCTCCATTGTCTCCAAGTTACTCGCCTCCATGATGTGCAAAGCTGGTAGGAGTGGCCAATATTTGATAATTGAGGACTGGCAGTTTTATTTTTACCTTAGAAATGTTAAAGCAATGTCTTGTTAAGTGCCATCGAGTTGTTTCCAACCCATAGCGACCCTGAACAGGGTTTCCGAGGCTGTAAATCTTTACAGGAGCAGAAAGCCTTATCTTTCTCCCACGGAGCAGCTGGTAGTTTCAAACTGCTGACCTCGGGGTTTGCAGCCCAATTTGTAACCACTACGCTACCAGAGCTAAATTAAAATGCTGAGCAGAATGAAAATACTGTTACAGCTTTTAAACACAATGAGTTTATAATAATGAGGAAACAGTACAGAAGAAGCTTTTCTATCCTTTCTTAAAACACACAAGAAATGAGAAAACCTTATTTCTTAAATTTTTTTCTTTAAAAAAAAATTATACTTAAATGATTATGATTATATTAAAGTCTTTTTGAAAGGAGTAAAAGTCATTTTGATCTCTACCACACCAACATGTTGTTGTTATGTGCCACACCAACATAGCAGTTTTTATTTTAGCTTTCACTTAACTAGGGCAGAGAGACATATCATGTAAACCATATGTATAATTTTGTGCTATGCATTTCACCCTGAATTTCTAACACTCTTCATTTGCTTGTGTGTATATGGGTGCAGGTGTGTGACTATATGTGTGTGTTTAAAGGTTAATCACAGAGCATTTGGACAGAAGAGTCTAAAAACATAAAAAGTCCCTACCAACATCATTGCATTTTAACATGAGACACAGTAGAGTGAATTGTCTTAATGTAGCATGCCCAAGAACAGAAAAACAAGGGTTAGAAAGCCAAAACCCACACAGTTTAAATAGTATGCCCCTTTGAAAACTATGGCAAGAAGCTGGCTCACTGAGGCTTTTGGGAAGATTTTGCCCTTGATGGAGTCCTGGGGTGAAAAGAGAATTTTTCCTAGCTCCTGGGCCATCAGGCTCACTGTCCTACTCTTTTGGTTAAGTTTTACCTTTAGAAATTGTTCCTACTGAGCTTTTCTTAGACTTTTCTGGTGATCATTTAAAATATCCTTTAAAGAGGTAATGGGATGAGGCTCTTCATTTTCTCCACTTGCCAGGCGAGTGTGTTTTTTCTTACTATCATATGAGTGGACCCTGCTGTGGCCTGCTAGGAAGCTTCAAGGACATGAATCTACTCTAATGAGACTATCAAAGACATTTTTCAGTACTGTAATCTTTGATATTTCTAGTTTTTAATTGATGTGAAAATCATGTGTTTTATAGTACTAAAACATGTGTTTTATAGTACTAAAATGGACTTCTGGTATGGTGCTGTAGTATCAGCACTGGACTGAGAACCACAGAGTTGGCAGTTCAAACCCACCAGCTGCTTCTCGGAAACTGTGCACAGGATTGCTGTGAGTTGGAACCAATTTGATGACACTTAACAACAACAGCATAGTACTAAATATTCTGAGAAATAAAGATGCTGGATATGTTTTGCAGAGTAATCTTTTCATAGTATTTTATTATATATAGTATTTTATTCTAGTTAGTACTCATTTCATCCAGTTGTTATTAATTGATATGCTTGTGTCTGCTCTCTTTCAAAGGTCTAACTCATCTTATTACTATGGATTTACACCAGAAAGAAATTCAGGGCTTCTTCAATATTCCTGTTGATAATTTAAGAGCATCGCCCTTCTTGTTACAGTATATTCAAGAAGAGGTGAGGTAGCTAAAAACTTCTTAATGTTAGCAAACTATTTAAGGTTGAAAGATAATTTCAGTTTCCTTAGACTGTCCCAAAAGGATTAAAACTTGATGTGTTCTGCTTAAAATACTATTGTGTTTTATAAATGTAATTTAGTATATATTCTTAATTTGTAGTTTATTATTATGCTAAGTTCATAAATTTGCATTTTCTTGATTTGGACCTTGTGTGTGTGTGACTATATATACATATAAGTATGGTTGTAGGAGCTCTGGTAGCGTAGTGGTTATGGATCAGGCTGCGAACCGGAAGGTCAGCAGTTCAAAACTACCAGCTGTTCCGTGGGAGAAAGATGAGACTTCCTGTTCCCATAAAAGAGTTATAACCTCGGAAACCCTGTACAGGGTTGCTATGAGTCAGAACCGACTCCACGGCACATAACAACAACATATGTATAGTTGTTGATAAGTGCCATTTAGTTTGTTTCAATTCATAGCAACCCCCGTATATGGTTTTCGAGGAGCTGCTGGTGAGTTTGAACTGATGACCTTGTGGTTTGCAAACCAGTGTGGATCCTACAGAGCCACACTGGAACACACACACTCTTTCTATCTATTTATCTATCTATCTATCTATCTATCTATCTATCTATCTATCTATCTATCTATCTATCTCTCTATCTCTCTATCTCTATCTATCTATCTATCTATCTATCTATCTATCTATCATCTATC